ATAGATAGATTCTTTATTGTCCTTTTTCAGGAAATTTGTTGCCACATCATAAATACAAACTGTCTATACTTGTATCGTCAGCACAGTACCACGAGCGAGCACTTTCATTATATACTTATAGACTGCATTCAGTCATTATACATCCCTGTATAACAATGGTGGAAGTGAGGAAACATTGTGGAGCACAGTATGAAATACAATATCACCTGTAACCTGGGGAATGAAACACATAAAATAAGACTTACGTCCATGAATCTGCATGCTGGTACTTCTCCTCCTCAGAGTTTGATTATAGCTGGGTGAGAATTACCAGGGTTGTTTTAACAACATGTTGGATCCAGATCTTTTTTCACTGCATATCTTGATATTTCCATGTGTTTCTCCAGGATGGACCTCAGGCTGAAGGACAAAGTAAAACCAAACAGGAGAGTGCGTGGCTCTTCAGACTGTGGTACACCTTTGATCACAAGTATCCTTTCTGTGCCCGGCTTTACAGAACCATTAGCTTTCAGGACACAAAGTCATTGTTTGAACTAGTGCAGGTCTTTCTGATAATATCAGGTCTCATATCCAGTCAGGATGGTTTTCCAGGGATTATTTTCCCTTTGTACCCTGTATAAGCCATCAAAGTCACATTCATAATTGCTGCCTTTATTGGATGAATCCATAAATGTTTGCTGTCCCTGAGTCAGACTGGCTGCAAAAACAGAGGAAAGAAAATGTGTTTAGCAGGTCATCCTCCCATGTCCTTCCTCCTTCCCTCTCTGCTCAACAACTGCCTCCCCAGGTGGCTGATTGTGTAGCTGCTTTTGAGCGGGGCAGCTGTGTTGTACAGCGGAGACTTTCTCCCTGGTGACACGTGCTAGACGCAGCTGAGGCGAGCAGGGTGGATTTCTTTCATGTCCCAACACTGCGGAGGCTGAAGTAAACACACATGACGCAGGGCTTTGGTGTGGAGAGTTTAGTGATTTTATTTATTTCTGGTGTAGAGGACTGTGCAATGGACTGCTGAGTTTGATTTCTGTTCAAACATACATGTTCTGTTCTGTCAGGGCTGCCTCCCTCCCTAAAGGGAGTGGTGACCAGACCAAGGAACAAGGAACTTTTTCCTACAGAGCAATACAGCTTGACTAATTAAAAAAAAAGGCAGAGGAACCGGCTGGTTGACTCTCTGCTGCACTGCAGCCGAGCCTCACAGAATTACTTTACCCTCAGAGTCACATACAGACTCCTGCTGGCAGACAGCCTTAATGTTATTGAGCCATAATTTATCATTTTTAATGTTTTTATGGTGAGTTACTGCTGGAAGAGAACTTAGGAAATGACTGCCTGCAAGGCCTGTTTTTATCAGAGCAGTTTAAATGTTTTATATTTGAATTAGCTTCTGCAAATTTAGTTTGAGCAGATAGTTGAGTTCTTCTACTTTTTTATAAATTAATTTATGCAGATGCAGAAAAAGCAAGTGTGAAGCCTCATGCCAAGCTAGCTAAAAACCTGGCAACCCAACAGTTGTTCTTATAAGTGATCTATAATTCATAAATGATGTATTAACCCCAAAGAAAGGCATTAGTTACAGCTTTATGACAGGTGAGATATTAGAAAATTGTACAGATATTGGATATGAACAATATTACTATCCTCCATTCAACCAGCCTTTGCCCATTGTAATAATAATATAATTATTGAGCTCTTCGGGTCGTTTTCCTTAATAACTGCCCAGTTACCTTAAGCCCATTCTGACACACAGTGGCCCACCTCTCACCTCCACTCTGCCCGCCTACTGTGGACCACTGGCGAGCTGTCTGACCAGCCCCCAGGCATACGAGGTGAGTGTCCACGTGCACAGAACAACAGTAAATACTCAGTAACACTACTACATGACCAGTGATCTGTGAGAAATGCATGCTGTAGAAACAGTAGAAGCTCTTTTCACTGCATGTTGTCCAGTAAGAGGATTTAAAGGAATAGTTGGACATTTTGAGAAATACACATATTAGCTTTCTTACTTACAATAACAGTTGAGCAAGGCTCGGTCAACTTTCTCCTTTCCTGTTTTTAGATAGGTATGCTATGTGCTAGGCTAATCTATGTTGAAAAGACAACCACAATTTGAAGATAAATGTATATATAAATATACATTTATAAATATAAAAATACTTTTGAAATGAGCTATAACCAAAGCATTCTGTGAAATCACTAAAAGGTGGTGGTTTTCTGTTCCTTTTTCTATGTTCAGACCATACTGTCAGTGGTTCAGACCTGTGCACAGTGCCTCAGGAAGCCTCTCTGTGAATACTGAAGGTTTTTCTCTCAGGAGAATTGTAATACTGTCAAAGTATTCTCAGTGCCTGCCAGTAAACAAACAAAGCACATAGAAAATGGACAGTCAAGAAGCCTTTTTGCATTCAAAGGGCACAAAAGGCCCTTTTCAGCACCACCTCAATGATGATCACTGTTCTGCGCTCCAATATTTTAAACAGAGAAATACCCATTGACCGAACCGTCACACTTGGATTTAATCTGGCAAATTCTCCTTTTCATTTCATGTGAAATACTTCCAGGTGGAGGCTTTTGGCTATTATACTCTCCCTTCTCAGTGACCCAAAGAGCCCCTCACTGTCGGGTTACAAAATTTAAATTCCTTGACTGCAAAATAGTCATAAAATGTCTTTTATCAAACTAAACTAAAGTGTCTAAATGTTTAGTTCTGTCTTAAGCTCTGCATCCACAAATGTTTTCCTCTGCTCGTTTGTTGCTGTTGGTTTTCCAGTGCAAGGCTGCCAGCCAGGCGAGCCATGAATTTAGGTGGTTGTTCATATAATCAGGACCGTACAGGCCTCTGGGATGCCAAGGGGGTGAGAGACCGTATTAAATAAAGCTCCTTGCTTGGTTCCTCTTTGGTTATGGGTGTTATGAAATGGGGAGGGAATAAAAGGCTGCACAAAAAGGGGAAATTTGAATTTCTCTTTAAAAGGGCACTTTTTTAAGCATAGTATATTATTTAATTTTCAGCAAAAGTTACTCAAACAGGAGTAATTAGTGCATTTGGACTATTTTTAGCTGTGGATGAATACATATCTGGAGCTCTTTGATGGCAGCAGGAAAGAAAATGTGGAAACAGCTCAAAATTAGAAAATGTACAGCGCCCACCTTCATATGTGATGAAGAATCATGTCACCCAGTATAAGAGTCAGAGCTGTGGCTCAAAAGCTGTTGGTGTTTTTTAGGAATTTGTTTACAATAAGAAACAATATAGAATATTACCAGACATCCTTAAAATAGCTTTTAAAAGCTTATTTTCTCAGACATGCCATCATTGTCTATATTCTACTTTCCTCCCCTTGTCTTTATTTCTTTGACGCTGGCTTCTTGACATTCATTTATAATGAATCTAAATGTGATTATTTTCACTTCCAACAGTTGTGTCACTCTTTTAATTAGAAACTAGCCCTACCCTTTTAACTACATACAATGCCTGATGGATTTATTTGGAGTTTTTTCCCCATTTCCCCTCCCAAATAATTGCTGGAGGGAAGCGGTTATGTAATCTCTCTCTTTTTTGATCCCTTCATCTGAGTAATCCCTGCTGACCTGACATTAACTCATCCTGTTCTCCCCGGGGACATGGGCCGACTATTGATTGTCAGCCAGTCAATTAGAGCTGTGAGAACCTCATGCAACAGTTTTACAGCCATCTATTACTTACCCACAATGCAATGTGTGCTTTTAAATTGAGTTGTCTTTTCTAACAAGTCCATTTCACAGCTGTCACTTATTTGTTCACTGTGGGGTTGGCTTGCATGTAATTGTGCAGCCTGTGGTTTCCTGTGGGTTTTTTTTTTTGTTATGTCACTTTAATGCAGTTGCTGCAGCACAGGACACTAAGTGAAAGTCTCCTCCTCCCTTTGTTCTGTAAATCCATAGTGTCCCTTATGATCCTTGCACTGTTATTGTCTGTTTACACCACATGTACTCATTCTGTGTGTCCTACATCTGTGCGTGTCACCCCCATGTTCTCCATCCCTCCCCTCATGTTCCACTGCGGATGTGTTTTCAGAACCACGAGCAGCTGAGGGACCACGACTCTGACCTCCTCCACAGCGACGGCGACCTGACCTTCATGTTCGGTGACACTGCCATCACAGCCAATGGGGCGTCCGGCGGTGGGGGGGATGCAGCCGGAGGGTCGGGTTGGAGTGCGAATGGCAAAAGGAGCGGCAGCACCTCAGAGGAGGCGCTGGAGCGTGAGCTGGACTCCCGCGAGCAGGAGCTGCTGAGTCGCGGCACGCGGCTGGTTTTCCCCATCGAGGATCACGTCTGACCCTCCCCTTCCTTTTGCCTACACTGTCAAACCGCCCTGACCTGACCCCCAAGACCACCTCACCCTCAACTCTCTCCACATCCCGCGGGCAGAGTGTCCAGTCCTTCAGAGAGTGGAGACGTGGTAGTAGACAAGAGGGGAGGGTTCAGAGTGACTCTGAGCTCCCTCCCGGCCCGGGAGCAAAGCTCAAGGAGCATTTCATCCTCATTACAGAGCTGGAGTTTATTCTTTAAGAGATTAACTTCCCTTGCTCTTATACTGTGATTCAGTTTTACTGATTGTTTCCTTTGCATAAAGTGGAGGGAAACCTTTTATGCAGGATATGAGGTCAAAAAAATCCTCATGTGAGATTCAGTCTGCACTTTTGAACATGTGACCCTGTGTATGTTCAGCTGGATTGGAAAAGAAGTAGAAAAATTGCCTTGCAGCCCTCTCTGGCATCATGTGATCTGACCTGTTTGTCTTCACATCACACCAGTGACCACTTAGAAAATGTGAGAAGTGGCTTTTTTGGAAGCACACCCCATCCAGATGCTGAATTAAGGCCACACACTCACCTACACTTTCAATAGTTTATAAAGAAAAAGTGTTCTCTGGTTAAGTGTGTACCATCTGAAGCTGTAATAGACCAGTGTTTGGTATGAGTGTGAGGATGTCCTTTGTTTCACACAAAAGCATCTGTGTGGGGGAGACTGTGACATGTGAGGAGCACAGAGAGGGACAGTGAATGAGTTGCCCTCTCAGCCACCACAGAGTGTCATGGGTGAAGTGAAAGGGGTGAAGAATGTGAGCATGTAAATAGCTACAAGGCTGAGCTTTGTTCCACTTTAGTGGGGCTGCTTCTATCAGCGCATTACATCCTGTGACCGTTACAAATAGTACCTGTGTATCTTGTCTTTGAGCTGGTCTGGATCCTTCTCACAGTACTGGGCTGGTTTTCACAACAATAACATGATTAAGGGACAAAAGTGTCTTAATGCAAATTATATTGTTTCTTATGAGATAATGCTAATTTCCCAAAACTTTAAAAACTGGCATAAGATGTACACTCGAACATGGTTAATAAACAATACAACACTACAAAATAAAGGGCAAGCCTTTATTATAATTTGGAATACTTTTCAAAAACTCTATATTGTCTTGCTGATTTTAAAAATACTTCAGATTATCAGATGCATCTTTTGATGTTAGACTGCAACTGACAATTATTTTCAATTAACCTGCTGATGATTTTCTCAATTAGCTGTTTAGTCTATAAAATGTCATAACATAGTAAAAAATCCCCCCAGTCTTAGAGCCCAAGGTAATTGCTTGCTTTATCCAATCAGTAGTCTAATATTCAGTAATAACTAATATAATATATGTATAAGGAATAACAGCAGTGAATCATTACATTGGAGAAGCTGGAACCAGTGAAAAAATTACATTGTTGATTAATATGATTAATAAAACTTATGATTGACTAATCGTTTCAGCTCTATGTTTAAGCTAAATTTAGTAAGTGGTATGATAGCATGTGTGCATATGTTTCATTGAGTCCATGCAGCAGCAGCAGCAGTGCAGCACCGCATAAGAAAGACTGCAAAGTAGTTCTTCAGACTCTACCATTAATAAGATTTGCCTGACAATGTTGAACTAAAAATCTCAAATCAAGAAGAGCCATTGATAACAGTGACCAGAGGTGAATGAAGGAATGCTTGCACATCTTCTACCTGCATCGACAGTGTTTATACTCTTAAAGAAATAATGTCTCTGGCTCCCACATGTTAGCCTCAAATGCCTGTTGAATTAGTTAGCACTGAAACAGAACGATGAGGTGAGCTGGTCTCATAAATCTACAATCAACGGTCATTTATGTAAATCTCCTGTTTTTCCTTAACCTTAGTTGCTAACGCTGTTAACTGTCATACTAACAGACATAAACTCATCATTTGTTTTGCTCTGTTCATGTTGGAAGAAATCACATCAGTAGAATATGATGCAAAGCTTTTGACCGTCTTTTGGATGGGATTATGGATATCATAATCATATATTCATATTTACTGCACAGATACGAGAGTGGACTTCTCATCCAGCTGCCAGAAAGGTACTTGGCTTATTTCCCTAAATGTTGTAAATTACTGCTGTAAACATTGTGCAGCTACAACACTTCACATAAACATTTGACCGTCACTACACACACACACAATGGTAATTTAGACACTTCCCTAAGTTTTGAGCTGATTACAAGAAACCTGAGCACCCATTGTCCTGAAACTCAAGTGTATCGATAATAAATGGGAACACATGTTCTCTTTAAAGTTCTTCACAATAAAATAAAGTGAACCTCCTGCAGTTTCTGTTTTGGTACTAAATGAATGCATTTTGTCTCAGCATTAGATAGATTTCTTTGTGTATAGCAGGTGGGACAGCAAATATAGCTTACAGTATACAGAACACTGACATCCTTTCACCTGTGGCCCAGTTCCTCCCAGCTGCCCTGAGAGGTTTGAAATGAGATAGTTTAATACTTAATACTATTAATACTGATCTCCAACATGCAAATCATTGACACGAGACAGTGACTTAGGGCTCAGGATTTCACTTGTGGCATTAATCTGTTAGCTGACACTTTCTACAACAGACAACTGAACCATATTGTTTCCCTACAGGTTGATTTGCATCTCTCGATGTGAACTATAGAAATATATTATTTATAGCGCATCAATTACTCTGGTGACTTTCTAACCACATTTCCTCGCAGTTTGTAGTGAACCTTTGGGAATTTCTCCTATGCAGCATGATTATTAGAGGAAATATTGGGTCATTTGCATATTTTTTTCCCCCTTAAGATGTGATATTTAGCTCTTATCCAATAAATGTAAATAGCAATTTAAATGGCAGACTTTGCTGGGCTTACAGAGCAGCACACAGGCCCTTTACACTGGTGGAACAACAACTGTCTCTGGGGGAGAAGGAGGAGGTTTTTCTAACACATTTTGTGTTTCCTTTACCACGTCTAGACATCTGAACCGCTCCCCGTTTTAAATTCACCACACAGCACGTGTTGCCTTTTGTTTTGCTGCTGCATTTATGTATGAGTACACAAGGGCAGGTGTGAAAGGCTCGATTGTGTAGGTTTAATTTGAGGCTTTCACGTGAGGAAGAAGCCTGGCACAAGTTTTATAGAGAACTGAGAACCTCCAGGAGGAAATGAATCTAGTTATGTAAGCTGTTGCCAAGCTGTATGCACTGTGGGTCATTTAAATTCTAGCTGGAGTGAGAAGTAATGTGAAGCCGTGCTCTGTCTAACATCTCCTTTCACAGTCTGATGGTAGCGAAGCTTGTCTGTATCTAGGACATTAAAAATAATCAAATTCGCCATTTTGTCTAACCAAACCATTTCACAATCTCTTCTGATATGAAAAGGTTACACAGCCTCCAGATACACCTTTAACAGTATAACTTACAGCAGATGTTATCTCTGGATTGTGCAAAACTGTGATTTTTGATCATGTCTGTTGAGAATTTCAAATTCCTGATGTACAAACACGAGTGCAGAAAAAAGACTGAACAAGAACTCACATTTGTCGACATGTCCAGGACAGACTGACTGGAGTTTTTCTTCGAGATGTGGGAGTACTTCATGGATAACTGGTGGCTGCAGGCAAATATATGAGCAGAGTTTGGCACTTTACCTCAAGCAAAGGACACTCACAGGACTCTTATATAACCTTCATGTGCACTATATCTCCAGACTGTTGTGCTGTCAGTTGTCTTGCTGGCTATATTTACATGCTCTCTGTACCTGGGAAATATGAGATGTAGCTCAATTGTCATTATGTGCACCTGTTGTTTCTAGTAGCAACTGGCTGCCTGGTTCTACCTTCCATGGTTTGCATGTCAACATGTTAATAAAAATCGTCAAATAATGAGCCACCCAGTTGTGTTCATTTGGATCATTGAAACTACATGTGGTCATGAGGCTGAAATACGGTTTGTGAGTTATTACTGGTTATATAATTGCATTTAAGTCTACGGAGGCCTGATCAGATCAACAGCACATAAGCTAATTATGATGACAGTTTGTGATTAATTAGGATTTACATAGTACAGTATAATCTATGGAGGTCCATGTGGTCTCAATGTATTTAGAATTCTCCATTCAAATATCTAAATACTCGCTAACACACACACACACTAGAGTACTGTGAGTAAGCACGTTATGATGCCATATACAGTTTAAGTTTACTGTAATGCATTAAAGCTGAATGCAGGTGTGTTTTCAAGCCCCCATTCACTACCACTGGATCTTTAAGTCAGCCAGTAGTAAAGGTAGAATTGGGTGGGATCTAGTGGTGAAGTTGCAGATAGCAACCAACTGAATACAGCTCAGCCTGGTAACTGTGTAGAGTGTCTGTGGTGACTACAAAACTCACGAAAAAAAAAAGCGTGGAAGGCCCCAAACCAGTGTTTGGTTTGTTTGTTGTGGGCTACTGTAGAAACATACTGTAGAAGAGGACCCGCTCCCTCTGTGGATTAATACAGTAATGAAAACATACCCATGAATAGATTCTGTTTCTGCCCGTAGATCCACCTGAATGTCACACTAGACCTCTACGATTAATTAGTTTTCATGTGATTATGAAGTCATCCAAAAGTCATTCCTTTCAGAATCAATGGAGAATTCATTCTTAAGAAGATGCTTCTCTAGTTTTTACTAACTCTTTATTGAAGTCAGTTTAAATAGTCAAGTTATTTCTTTCTTTGAAAAGAGAACTTCTTCAGGCATTTAACCCACAACAATCATTACAGAACCAACTTCTAAAGTTGAACACATGGATGCTGGTAAACTTCTTACTCCTCCTAAACACATCCTCAACCAGAGGGGTGTCACAGCATTTTACACTTTTTTAGACAAAAACTAAAAACAGTAAGAATGGCGCACAGTATGAATAAGTACCGTCTGTTGTGCTTGTGAAAACTTGCTAAAAAGTTCATTGGCAGAGCACAGAGGCAGCTCTCCAAGACACGTCCATGGGATATTAGAAAATTTCACACCCATGTGAGTGTTTTGTCAGTGGGGTGGCTGCAGCTGTCTGGATTCCTGAGGGGCTGGGGGCGAAACAATAGTTCCTCAGTCAGGCCTCTTTTCCAGAAAACACTGTAGTTTCTTCTTTCACAGCTCTTCATGGGCATTGTTAGTGAGAAAACTTCAGTTAAGTATCAGTAATGCTTGAGATTACTGCCTCGCTTAGTCATAGGCTGGACAGATAAGTGGCGCAGGTGAGAGCGAGCCTGACGCTGCCACACCGGATCCTGGCAGTTATCTCGCAAGAAGGACCCATCTCTGGCTTTTTATGGCTCTCGCCTGCAGGGGATTTGTGGAGGGATTAGTGCTGCTAAAAGGACAGAAGGATAGAGGCAGGCCAGTGTAACAGGAGCACAAACCAGCATCAAATCTCTCTCTTCTTGTTTAAGTCCGCTCCCACATCCCCTCTATCTGCATAGTCCCTGCTAGTGTTGTAAAGGTAACACTGTACAAATAAGCTGCCTTCTCCTCGTTTCAAATTCATCTGTCTGTGATTGGCTGCTCTTTCCACTTGGATTTTCTCCAGTTCATCGACCCGGCTTGCGAGCTCCCAGTGGACCACATTCCAGCTGCTTGTTTTGTTATTCCACCTTTTGCCCTCAGCCTCGAACACCAGGTCCCTGGAAGAGAACAGAAAATAGCTGAAGCCTTTAAGTTACGACACAGCCTCACACTGAAAGAGACACAGAGCAAAAGGACCATAAACACGTTCAACGGAGTTAATCATGTCCATGTTCAAGACCTCCAGCCGTAGCTTTATCCGTGGTCAGGGTGGAGGCAGTGCCATAAGGGACACCCGCTGCCTCCACCCTGTTTCTGCTCCATGCTGGCGGCTTGCAGGCGGCCCGAGCTCTAAAGGGTCTGCTTGTGAGAGCTGGCGGCGACAGGCCGGTGGTAACCCTGGGAGAGCTTCCCCGTCACGGACAGCCGTACACAATGATCCCCTTCTTGACAGCAGAGTCTGAGGCCCAACGACCCGCTGCCAGCCCCCCGCTATCCATGAGAGGACCCAGCATTGCCAGGGAGAAAACAATGAGGCCTCTATCAGACATCAGATCAGTTAGTCATCAAGGAGGGAGGAATATTTGTGGGACTGTCTCGCTCTGATAGCTGTAAAAATCTGTTAGTGTGTCTGCGTTAACCTTAATCTAACACGTGATTCATTAACTAGTAAGAAAACTAAAAGGGAAAGCTCTGTGCGCAAAAAGCAGCAGCCAGCCGTTGACATATTAATAGGTTGAGTGCTATCTACAAAAGAAGAGCAGAGTCCACTTTGATATACCTAGTTAACAGTTAATATGAGAGCAATTAAAACTCATTCAACAGGTGGGTTTCATTAAAGACAGGCAAAGTCCTGGGTGTATATGTATATAAATAACAGTAGGTTGATTTATTTTAATCATTATTATTCTATACATTTAATTTTCTTCATCTATGTGTAGCTTGAAGGAACTGAAAACTTTTATGTTGTACAACCAGTTGTTGTAAATTTCCTTGATGCAATTAAAATAAAATGAAAGGCCCCCTCTAGACAACTTTTATGACATAAAAATACTCTTATTTAATACTATTAAAAATGTACAGCATGTGTTTCTTTCCTCATCACACTTGTGTAGCTGTCTGCTGGAGGCTTCCTAACTCATTAGGACGTCACAAAATGAAGATCAAACATCAAAGTAACAAGCTAAACACATCATGTTGTGGAGGGTGGGGGGCTTTTTAATGGATCCAATCAAACCCTGCTGCCTGGCTCTCTCCTGACCCCCATATGGACTCTCTGTTTTCAATTTGCCTCAGTCAGAAGGAGGTCACAGGTCAAGGATCAGCCACAGAGCACAGCAGCAGCACCAAGGCTGTTGTTGTCAAACCTCAAACTTCCTGCAGGTAAAAACAGTGAGGAGGGCATTCACCGCCTCTGTCTTTAGTTTCACTCTGCTGACTTCAGCCCTCATTCGCTCTTGAATTAAAACCCTTTGTGTGATCTCACCATACCTTGACCCTTGATTCCTCAGGGCACATCCTCATGTTGTCTTGTCCACGCTGTTCTTCTGATACCCCAGCTGCCTCATGACCTCGCTGCAGTAGGCCTCCACCTGATTGATCTGCTCAACGTTGAGTCTCTCCCTCCAGGCATATATAGCCTCTTTTGCGTCTCTGGATGAGATCAGGAACGGCCTGTCTGAGGAATACCCCTGACCGTGCGTCATGTTCAGGGCAAACTTCTCCAGAGCCGGGAAGGAGGAGAGGTTGGAGAAGCGGTACAGCCTCTGGAGCTCCTCCATGGGGTGCAGGACCAGGTCCTCGTAGCGGATGCGGAGGTAGTTCCTCCTCACCCAGGGAGGCGCATTCATCACCAGCATCATGTCACTGAGCCAGTTGTCACAGATGAGCTCCATGGCGCTGGAGACGTAGCTCTCGGCCCGGTTCACCTTGCTGCTCGGCACCAGCAGCCGCTTGTACTTGTCGGCCTGCTTCTTACTCCTCAGCACCTGGATGCTCTCCTTCACCAGGGCCTGTTTGGACTTCAGGCGGGAGTTGTGCACGGCCCTCGGGTCTCTGAAGAGCTGAATGATCTGGAGGTTTATCGCAGGGTCTTTCATCAAAGGAACCAGCGTGCTCAGGTCCAAGACGCGCACTCCTTTGATCACCATCACCGGGTACTTTCTACACTCCCTTTCCAGGTCCCTAATGTCCCGCTTCGGGCACTTTGCGCACTGGTCCTCTTTCACCAGCCCAATTTCATGACGCTTGTGCGCATCGCATAGCGGCTCGGAGCATATCACCTTGTTCATTTTCCAGCCGAATATGAACGAAGTGGTGATGTTTTGCGAGCCGGCGTAAAGTTTGAGGACGGAGAAGTCGCAGCGGTACAAGGCGTTCATCATGTCCCGCACTGCGCCCTGGAGACTGGCCGCATCCCCCGGATACAGAGCCTGCCATATGTGCCACATTGGCTCGTACAGGTAGAAAACATCGGGGTGCTGGTTGAACAACTCCCCCAAAAACGAGGAGCCAGTCCTCCAGGTGGCATGTAGGTAGATGTGTATCCGAGACTGGCTCCGGTTGACGGCCGGCTCCGTCTCCTCGCTGCCGTTAAGTTTGTAACCGTTATCCCACAGCAGCGCCAAATCTGGGCATCTGGGCTGTTGCTGCAGTCCATGTCTGGCGTGTTGAACGGATTTATCTCGGTAATCTAACACGTACGGGATTAGCAGAAGTAAACCTGAATATGCCAGGATCAAAACCAAGTATTTTTTATGTAGCCTCCTCTTCATTTCCTCTCGCCGGGAGGGGGCTGGCTAGCTTCTTTCTCCGGAGGGTCGCGGCGCTCTGTGGCTCTGTGGGAGCTACTGTAAAGTTATGTGTGTGCGAGGGGAAGGAGTGTCTCTGTGTGTGTGTGTGTGTCTGTGTGTGTCTGTGTGTGTGTATGTGAGGGGGGGGTTAACCACGCCCCTTTAAAGACGAAATACCGGATTATTTCTGCTTCTTTTCTGCAGTCGGTAGGTGAAATAATTGCGTTAGACCCGTTACAAAATGTTAGTATCTTTGAGAAAGCCTCATCAATAACAACATGTAGAATGGCGGCCGTTAATCTCAAAGAGCCTTGTAGAGAAGAGGTTCCAACGGCTACCACCAACCGTAACCGGGATGGACGCAAGGGATTATGGGAAATGTAGGCTCCATTTGAATTGTGTATTTCGTCGGCAGTGTATTCGTATCTCGAGACGTTGAATGTTTTCACTGTGCAGCTTTAAACACGAGCTTTTACATATAAAAGAAAAGACAAATACAACAATACTATTTACTGCAGTTAGGGTTTGCGCATGCGCACTTTACATCGTTTGTTGTCAGAGGCGAACTCTGCGCGGTACCGAAGGAATCAATGAAGTAGCTGAAGCTGTCGAGCCTGTGCAGTAAATGGCATTATCAAGCTAACGTGTTCTTGTTCGTGCTAGCTCTTTAGCTTGCAGAGTCACCAGGCCAGCAGCAGGTCTGTCTGCCTGACAGCTAACTATCGTTACATGTGGACGCTTGTAACGTTGGTTAGTTCAGTGCAGCATCAACATGACACACTGGAGCACCTTCGAAAAGGAGACGGAGAGAGAAACGAAGAAGCTGATAAGATGTATCAGCGGGGTCGAGGACGAGGAGGACCAGAACTTCCAGCTGGCACTGAAATTTGCCTGGTCGAACTTCAAGTGAGTTAGCCATTGACAGGATGGGAACATGTAAACAAACGTTAGCATTAGCCGCAATCAGTGATGCTAGTAATAGTCTCGTTTCTTGACAGGTTTCATCGGTACTTGGACGTGGACAGCCATAAAGTCCAGCGCAGTATAAATGGGTGAGTGAGTCTGTGGTGCTAGCTGGTCTTTTACTTCTGTACTGGACAGTTAGAGAAACACAGCGAGCTAACGTTACCTGGGTTATGTTGTGTTGAAACAAACAAGTGAACCCATTTTTAAGCTACTGCCAAGGTCCTGCATATGATCAACATCTTATATTCATATCTCAACATATGTATTCGCCAAGAGCTTTACATGGTGGTTGTTTTCAGAGGAGAAGAAGTGTCCAATAACTATTATCAATAACCAAATCTAGCCCTGGATCTTCCATTTTCAAGAAATACTAAAAAAGCCTTTCCCAAGCGCATTGATCTGATTGATTTTGCCATGAGGAAGATTGTGTTTTTCCCATTTCTGTTTAGGTCTTTTGCATGTCACTGTCATATGTTCATAATCTGCCGTGTTTTCCAGAATCTATGAAAAGCTCATGGTCCACTCAGACTTGAGTAAAGCAGAAAGCTGGACGAGGCTGACTGAAGAGTTCCTGAACTCACCTTTACCTAATACAGATGGAGCAAAGGTATGGGCTGACAGAAAATTCACTACTTAGTGGAGTGAGGGTCTGTGACCTTACACTGCCCTCAAGACAGACCTGCTGTAGTTACCTTTTCCTTCAGCCATATCATTTTAACAATACATACAGAATACAATACAGTTCAATTGTTTTTTGCAGACTGATGTACACTACAGTTTACTGTCACTGCTGCTCTTCTTATCGGGGTCCCCTTCAAACACAGACTTTACAGAGAGACCCAGGGTAAAGGAGGCCGGTGAGTTGACACTTTACACATTTTCAGTTTTACTTGTGAAAGTTTACATGTCCATGTTAATCATTATTGCTTAATCCTGCATCTGCAGAAGAAGAGGACAACTTCGACTGGGCTAGATATCTGATGGAGGGTGAAGACATAAACATGGGACCATACCCAGATACCCCTGTGAGTAAATCATAGCCAAACTCACCCTTTATTGATATGAATGACCACAATACCTGCAAGTGAATCAAGTTCCCTGTAAACCATCTCAGATGTCTTCAGCGGCACCTCTTAGGTTTTGAATATAGCTATGCTGAGATCACAAAACCTCCTGTACTAATAAGCGTCACAAAGCTGTAACAATATTAACTGCAGAGTGAGGGAGATCCCAGTCTATACATGGCCCCACATTCCTGAGAAGAGGTCCTGTTAGCCAGTAGTACTGACACACCTGTATGGGTGCCCCATGGTTGTGTAGGAGCTGTAAAGCTGCAGTAAAGTTACCAATCCAGCAGAAATAAAACCGTATCGATTGGCTTTTAGGAGTGGTCTGAGGAGGAGAGCGAGGACGATGACAGCCAGCAGCCAATCAGCAGGGAGGACTCTGGGATCCAGTTGGACAGAACGCCCCAGGAAGACCAGGACAACAACAACAAGACAGTCCCAGTTACATGGACAGGTGTGAACAGATCACACAGGAAAATGATGTTATAATGGAAAACAGATAATGGAAGCCTTTACTATTTTCGTAATGTGAAACTGAGATAGGACCAATGCACACAGAAGCCCTTTTCTAAAATGACAATAATCCCCCTTTGTGTGCTTGCAGTGGGGGAGCCTGATGCCCGGGCCTGGCTCGAACAGCATGTAGTGACGCCATACTGGGTGGCTCATGCTCCTCGTTTTCCTCACAGCTTGCATTTACACTCCAATTTGCTCAACGTGTGGTAAGACTCTGAAATGTTGTGTAGGACTTTAGATGATAGTATGGATGCACTGATTCACTTTTTTAGGGTTAACACTTACAACAGTGTTTTTGATATCACAGAAGAGCTAAACAAACCAGTAAGAATAGCATTGGACCAAAATAATTTGATACCAGTCGAGACATTTTGCCTGTGTATCAGCGGACTATTTTAAAATAGACTTTGGGGTATTTGTGATTTGAAATGATTAAAGATTCTTACCCCCAGTGTCTGTCTTCTCAGGGATCAGCACTTGTATAACACTGATCCATTGTATCTACCCGAAGAAAAGGCCTTTGTCACAGAGACCCAAGTAATACGGGAGACATTGTGGTAAGATGTAATGATGATTTGGTGTGTGACTGTGCCCATTGTACAAACTTACAAAGAAGTTAATCTCCTACTTTCTCACAAGTTGTATCTTTCATTATCTCATAGACAACTGAATCCTTTTTGGATTTAAGAGAAATTTTTATTTTCATTTACAGGCTCATTAACATTAAGTGTGATCATTAAGTTGAGATGTGTGACTGCTATGTTGCAGGCTTCTCTCTGGGGTGAAGAAACACTTTATATTCCAGCACCATGATGGAAAAGTGTCCGTAAGGAACAACGTTGTGGTGACTCATCTGACAAGTGTAAGTTTAAAATCTGAAATGTGCTTCTATTATATCTTAATAAATGTGTATTCTGTCCACTGTAGGAAACAGTCTTTTCTCTCCCTGTGCTGCAGAACTGTCTGCGCTCTGTGCTGGAGCATATCGCTGTGTACGGGCAGGCGGTGTTCAGGCTCCAGAGGTTCATAGACGAGGTGACGGGGTACAGCTCGGAGCCTTGCCCACCAGGCTCCAGTTCCTCCTACAGCTCCAAGAAGGGCTCCGAGCCTCCCTTCAGGACCTACCAGGCCTTTGTGTGGGCACTCAACAAGTACTTTACCAGCTTCAAAGAGGAGCTGACCACAATTGAGAGAGAGCTCATATGCAATGGCAAGTGCAAGTTGCAATGTTTAGGGGTTTGAAATCAATGGGGAACTCTACATTACCCTGCAATACTAACATAAGAAAACACTGGCATAACTAGATGAAACAGTCTGTGACACGGTGACTTAGACTGTTAGCTTTTTGCACAATTATACTGTGTGTTAGCTGTGTAGCTCTTAATAGGAATAGGAATAGTGCAGTAATTCAGAATGAGGGAGGTTTGTGCCCTGCAGCAGACAGGATGTAACAAGACACTAAATTCCTGATTTAATAAAATTCGTAACACTGGTTTCACATTACAATTTTCTCAGATAAATGAGATTGAAGACAAATTATAACTAAATGAATCTTTTATTTCTTAGACAAAAATCTACAAAATATATTTTCTTTATCAATTTATAGAATCCTTTTTTATTTTTAAGGTAGGTAGGTGTCAGCTGTGCAAACAATGCATATTTCCGTTACTTTGTAAAAGTGAAACTCAAGTCTTTGCACCTTAATACCACGATTGATGTCACAATTCATTTTCCATCTCACTGATTTGAATCTTTACATATTCGTCTTCCTGTTTAACTGTCTTATTTATTTTTACATTCCCACTTCTCAGTACCAGCAAGAGCTAACTTTGTGTCTTTTCGGATTGCATCATCACTCACACTTGCTGCCGTATTCTAAAATTCTATATGTCGTGTTAGCTAGCTGCAGCCTACAGATACCTATCAACATGAAGTGTGTAGTATAAGTAGTTTTTGGAATCCAGATTCAGATTCAGATTCATAC